TGACGCATCAAACTTCTATTATTTCATCTTTGTATTCTATTTTTTGCATCATTCATCACCATACAATGACTATAAGAGTAATTTCGATATTAATTAGTGCACTATCTTTTTCTCATGCTAATCTTTTAATTGTAGACGCTCTATCTTTCATGACATATGACATCATTATATTTGTGATGAATCAATCATTCAATTTACCTAAGTCGTTCGTTTGTTTGATATCATCGGAGTCATCGTAATTTGTTAGTATTTGATTAAATTAATGTATTTACTAGTCTCCTTTTGCTGCTATTGGCACAAGTATTTAATTTACCTTACCAACAATAATTATTCAAAGCAAATAATGAACAAAGATAGCATACGTAACTACATTTAATTTATGTAAATAATAAGAATAACCCGCGGCCGAGAGAATAAAGAAAGATTAAAGAAAGGACGCTTAGAATTTAGTAAGCCAAAGAATATTGTCCATTCAAACCGAAATTTAGATAATTTTTCGTTTTTTGTGGAATAAAAACGGTAATAATTATGATGATACATATTGGGATAGTTATTCATAATCTTTTAAATAAAATAGAAAATAGGTGATGAGAGAATAAATGTGCTATCTAATATATGGAGCTATTTATGCAAGATGCACAGATTTCTTTATATAAAACGTGAGTCAAATATTATGAAAATCAATAACAAAAGAGTCTAATAATAATATGATGTTTGCATGTTTATTATGTGTTTTCGTTCCATTGAGTTTCTTCATTCAAGTGCTAATTACAAACAAAAATAGGAGCATTTACTATTATTATTATGGCTTTTTGTTTTACTTTATTTTTGGACCTATGTTTTAAATGTTGTACTATTAGAAAGGTTATCTAGATTAATGCTGTTTTATGTATATGCCTCAAAATTAATTTAATTCGTGATGTTTACAAGATATTTCGATTCGCATGAACCGATCATTTAAGTACATGGCGCGCACATAAAACATGTTTCAGATGCATTAAGAGTATGTGCAGCAGAATAGAAACGAAAGAAATAAAAGAAGTAAAGTAGTCCCATTGTATGTATGCAAATGAATGTATTTTGCCCAAGAAAAATAAAACGTATTGAAATCGAGACGATTTAATTGGTACAAATATATTTGAGCCACGTTATTATTTCTAAATATTGAACCAATCATGAACAAGTGATCTGCATCCGAATTTGATTGGTCATCGAAATGTAGAAACTTACATTTCATTAATTTGGTCAAACTATCGATGTTGGATTAACGAGCATCACCTTTCAACTATTTTTACCACTTACGCTAACTGCCATCAAAATAAAGTATCGATAATTAGAGAATTTCACTTGGATGATTGTTATGTAATCATGGGAAATTTTACTTTTTTCCGATTTATTATTTTCTAAGCCTCATTTGTCGATAATGTGAGGGAACAGCTAAAAAAGAAAAAAAAACGAATAAAAAAATTAAAGAATGTCTTGGATGACTCATAAACAAGAAATTTGATCGAGCATGTGCACACACACATTCGTGATCCAATCTCCACATTTTTTTCGTTATGACTGCAAGTCCTATGATATCATTATTAGCGAAGTGAGTGATTTATGCGGGATTGTTTATATTATTTAATGCTGTTTGATGATGATGAGTATGATAAAATGATGGTGATATACTTGTACAAGTATATAAAGAATATTAATGTGTATATTGCAGTGTATGCACAATTAAAAAAGAGTTATTCTCTTTATCGACTATTAAATAAAATTATTTTTCGTTTTAACTTAAATTATAATCATGTTATCGATGCTTTCCATGATTTAGTTAGATCCAAAATAATAATTAAATTTGTCGTTACGTTAGAAATTCACTGTTGTTGTTGTTGTTGCTGTTGCTGTTAAAGAGATCGGACTATTTCGTTGGACCGACAATATGAACAAACTGTCAATGTACACGTGAGGTACTGAGAGAAGCATTATTATTATGATCAACTCATCATTATCGTCATCATTATCATCACTTAAAAAAAGTTTTTCCATTAAAAGTTCACCAAAGGAGCCGGGAAACGTCACAGTTGGGTGATTCGCATATTTTCACTTTAATGACGGTGATGATGACAACAGCGACAGCAGCAACAACAACAATAAAAACAACGACGACGAAGACGACAACGACCGACAATGATGCATGTATATTCGATTGCTCATTCGATAATTGAAAATAACCAATTTTGAAGTTTGGTTGCTATTTGATTCATTTGTGTGTGCGAAATATGTCAGTAAAGATATGTTTGTTTGCTTAATTTAGCTATGATTACAATTATTAAATTTTATCTTTGTTTTCTCGTTGGTTGCGTGTAAATGTTAATGGATGGAAATATGTGCGAGTTGTGCGTCGTGCTTTGTGACTGCCTCTGTTTATGTATGCATATATTATATTTCCGCTCACCTCTCTCTGTCTCCCTTTATTTCTGTAATAAGTTTTTCTTTTTTTGAACTCGCAAGTTTAATTCTTTTTTATTATACGTATACACACAGACAGAGCACACAATCGAAAACAATAGCTTAAACGTCATAATCGATAAAGTAAGAAAACATAGTTACTCCCTTATTATTTACCGTACCATCGACTATTATCAAAATTTACCGTTTGATTTAGAAAAAATCAATTATCTATGAATGGGATGGATTACCTGCTTTTTGTTGTTACTTCTTTTGGCTAAATAATACTAATGTATTTTTATTTATTTATGTCATGGAGATGTGACGAATAATTTTTATTTTTATCATCATCATATACAACCTTAAAATGTTATTTTTACTAAAATCAAAAAAATCAGCAAATTAATAATAAATCATAATAATAAACCATATGAAGCGAATCTAAAGTTAGAAATGTTTCATGATCCCTTTTAAAGTAAAGAATTTATATTGTGTAACTTGTAATGTCGGATATAGGTTATATGTTACACAGTATAGATATTCACTCACTCACTCACTCGCTCATTCAAAAGTAAAATTGCCGGGTGGCTGCGGATATACCATTTTAAAAAACTAAAGCTGATTAACTCACCATACCAGCGATTTTAATAATATGACAAATCAGCACAACAAGAAAGAAAAAGAAAGAAAGTGTTTACTACTAACATCACTAATTTTATTGATTATTGTTGTTTATTTATCAAGATCATTGTTTACCAGGATCTACATACACACAGACATACACACACGCGCAGATTCCCGCCACTTTCTCCACAAACTGATTTTCTCAAAGCAGACCGACCCATAGTAATTTTATTATTAATGGAAATCACCAAAAAAGTCACTCGTGCCGTGTCAAGTATGAAACTTATGGATTGATCAAAGAAAATTATGGAATGTGCAATTGGAGAAATTCAAATATCCGGAATTACGTCATACAAGAAAAGTTAAGACATCTTTATCCGACGAACATGTATGTAGACATGAATATAATAACATATCATCAATGATAATTAATTGCAGCAGTTGACACGTCACAATCACCAAATAAGTTTATTTTAAAGGAAAAAAGAAACGAATGATCAATCGATCAGCTTGAACCCGTCTTAATCACATTCACACTTATAATTTATAATTGTCACATCCAAAAATTTCGCGATCATTCATTCTCCTTGGTGATGATGATGATGGTGATGCGCAGAGATATTATAAATAAAGAAGAGTTGGTAGGAATTAAACAAGTTTTGACTCTTTCTCTCTCTTTCATTGCCATCATCATCATCATCATCATCATTTAATAAAAAGTGATTAAAAATATGATATGGTACAACGTGTAGGAAATGATTGCTGTATTGAAACAGCGTTTTTTTAGAAAAAAAGTTTACTTTTACTCTCTTTACTATACTACCAATCAGGAAGAAATTTTTTGTTATTTTATCAAATTATATACATATATATACACACGTATATAAAAATATAAATAATAGGAACTGATGGTGTGCTCAAGGTAAACTGTATAGCCTAGCTCTTGCAAATTCCAAATAAAAATAATAAATAAATTAATGTATGCAAAAGAAAAGCGTGCATAATATCCATTTATTAACACCTATCATACCCTATTATATTTATTTATCACAGCATAAAATAATGATATTATAAATTTCTCTTCTTGTCTAAATATATATAAATATACAGTATATTATATTATATTATATAATATACTGTATAAATTACATTATTATAATAATATAAATAAATATAATACATATAATATAATATAATATAATATAACATAATATAATATATAATATAATTTATGTTTGTTAATATAAATAATAGACTATTATATATGTTATAGTCTAAATTTTTTTTTAAATAAAGCATAAAAGCTTTTAGAAAACCTCTGTTAGGATCTTTTGCAAAAAATTCTTTCAAAGGTTTTTTCGTCCTTCGTCCTATTTTATAGTTGCCCCTTTTGATTCTTCATGTTCTAATAACAGAGATTTTCGTCAGAAAATTTTTAATATCCATATAAATATACCATCAAAAAATAATCTAAAAAAAATTTTTCAAGCAACAACAAACAACAGAAGCACAACTCACCTTTTTTTTTCAAACCGATACGATAACACGATAATAATAATAATTATTATTATAATAATTATAATAGTAAAGAATTATAAGCGCGCGATATAAAACATTCCGTGTTATTAACGACAACTAAAATACTTGTAATAACACGCGCACTTAAATTTTAGGCACTTTTCTTGTATAAGAATATTATTATTATCGTTTTTGATATATCAACGATACTTTACGCAAGAACCTTTACTTTTGTATGAGTTGATATATAAAACTTGGGCCTGTTTATCAATCAGTCAATCAATCAATCAATCAGTCAATCAATCAACCAATTCAGTCAGTCAAAACAAACAATCAATATAATTATTTAATCAAGTGGAGTGAAAACTTTTTAAGAAGCAAATCTTTTTACGACCAGGAAAAGCAACAATAATTTCAGAATGTCATCACTTGTGCAATATTATAATATTAACGAGGAGCCGATTGAGATTCACTTGCCTCAATCTTACCATCATCAAAAGGAAATTGACATTGCTTCCGATATTTTGAATAATAATCGACTCACTTTCACCGAATTTCTCACTGACAACAGTGAACAATATATTCAGGAAGCTTACGAATATAATTATCAACAACAACAACAAAATCATTCACCTCAACTTCACCATATGCCCACATCCACGACAACTTGCTCATCACCAGCCAGCGATTATAGTCATTATAACAACAACAACTTTGACGCCAAACTAATAAAAATCGAATATCAAGAGTCGATCGATTCAATATACCCAAGAAGTTTATCGGTAGATAGCAATTGTTGTCCGGAATTCGAATTTTATAGTCAAACAAATTTGCCAACTGGCGTTCTTACGCCCATCGCATCCCCAATCGATCAATCTCCAATTATCCCATCTTGTGGATTACCTCAAACACCACCACAAGATTATCATCAAATTCACACGTTTTCGCATCATTTTCATCCGATCCTTTGTAATGAAGAACAACAATCCTCATCACAGCAACAACCACCAGCTGAATTCACAACAGAATCAAACACTATCACGAATGTTAATGTGATCCAACATAATCATCATGAACACTTGATTCAAGAACAAGATTATCAACGAATAGTCTCATCTTTACCATCACCACCAACCTCTATCGCTAAACCACCAACTAAGTCACGTGGACGAAGGATGTCAAATAAACCAACGAAACCCGGAACAAAATGTTTCGAATGTACTTATACTGGGTGTGGTCGTGTATTTAAGAGATCTGAACATCTTAAAAGACACGTTCGCTCGATACATACTCTCGAACGACGTAAGTGTGTTAAATTTGTTTATACGTGAATTGCAATCATATCCTCATGTACTAATTAATTTTTTTATCATTATTATTGTTATTACCATATATTTATGTGTTATAGCATTTCATTGTTCTTACCCACATTGTACAAAACGTTTTTCACGATCTGATAACCTGAGCCAACATCTACGAGTCCATCGACCAAATGGCAAAGATAAGCAACAAACATCGAGAATAATCAACAACTTCACCCCATTCCTACAAACAACAACATACACCAACAATATTCATCATCATCATCATCATCCATCATCAATATCAAACTGAGAATGAGTAAACTCATCTCTCTTTTTTCTTTCTTTTTATGAATAATCTGGAATTTATTCTCGGTTATTATTAAGTGATGGATTACTGATCGAATGATGTACGATTAAGTAAACGCTACACGCAGTTATATATAATTAACACATTCATTTTTATTATCATTTTTTTTCATTTTTTTTTATTTTGTTGACTATTCTCGGGCATTGGTGGAAATTTCTTTGTAATGATTTTTTTATTCTTATCAATTTGGTGGCGGTGCTATTGAAATTACAATCACATATTATACTGAACATTTTTCTCGGCTTGGTCTATTCACACACACACACACACTCTCTCTCTCTCTCTCACTCACTCACTCACACACACATATATATATATATATTTGTTATTTTTTTTCTTTTCGAATTCTTCCGGCATTCATTTCACTTTTCTTTAGTAAATAGTTTTTTCTTTTTCATTCTGTCTATATTTTTAAATCTCCCCTTTTTTAAAAAATTTCCTTTTCTGTTCTGCTCTTTTCACCGCATACACAATTTTTATCGTTTTCGGTTAACATACGCACGCGCAGACGCGCACACACACACAGTAATACGAACTTTTATATATCCAAAATTTGCATATTAACTATATGCATGTGTAAATTGTTTACCGAATACTGTTCTGTTTCCTTATTAAATCAACCAACCGTTAAATATATATAATTCCCGTCATTTCTTTACTTATGTGCATATACAATTACGCATAAATCATTTATTTCATCATCGCATACAATCTTAATAATTGGCGTTCACCACCACCACCACCACCACCACCACCACCATCATCATCATCATCATTTTCATCATCATCATCTTTATCATTTACATCATCATTTAATCATTCACATAGTACTAATTATTATAGCATAATTATATTCATCTTTAAACGCACGCACATTTTATCTATTTCTGCACACACACGTTATTTTATTTCATCATATCACACAATCATCTTTACAAAGTCCCTTTTTTTCTTATGAATGGTATCACTATTACAGCACATAATGACGTACACGTAGTAGTTGAATAAGAAATAGTCAGTTGTACAAATTAAATATGGTATAACCAGAAGCAAACTGACACCATCAACTACATACATTATTATTAACAACAACAACAACAACAACAACAACAACAACAACAACAATAACAACAACAACGACGACCACGAGATTTTTTTTGCGCGCCACTTCCACAATGATTAAATCGTGTGTATGTATGCTCGATAAATATAATCTCATTTATTGTCTTGTTGCTGTATCAACTCTTTATACATCATCATGATGTTGTTGTTTTTATATATTGCTATGTCCGTGTATGTATATGTGTGCGTGCGTGTGTGTCTGGCCCACTTATTTAATCCCGTCATATAATCCCACTTACATTAACCGACCAAATCCGCTAACTGATATCCGCGTATTATTATCATTCATTCGTTTATAATCTTGAAAGGAATTAATCTAATTTAATCTAATCTAATAATCTAATATTTTAATTTTATTTATTTATTTATTAATTTCGTCGATTTAATTTCCAATAATTCCGTTTATTCATTTCGCCTTTAATTTTTTTTAACATTGGACTTTATCATTTTAGACGTAGACGTTATAGAAAAATTCATATATCATAGAATCATCAATTAATTCTAATTATACCGCATTTTCCAATAATTAACTCATCACACCTCATATTTTCATATAGAATCATATAGATTTTTTCGCATTAGATTCATACACATACATTCATCCATCATAATTCATCCATTAAGGTTTTTTAAAGCACAACAACATAGTACTATAATTCATTCTCATGCACATATATACTCTCATACATGTATTTCGTAATTCATTTTAATATTTTTAATATTTTTCATCGTCGCACCCATCTTCTATTTAGCATTTACAGTAATGACATTAATAAATTGTTCTGTTCCAATTCGGTTCTGTATTCTGTTCAACTAATTGAAATGATCAGATGTTAATTTTTTTCGACTTTTATATAAATGGATTAGTATCTTGTCCATTTTATTTCATGAAATTTCAAGCTAATCATTCAATCAACAAGGATGAATCAATTGAACATGATCCGTCACGAACATTGATTTGATATGAATGAAATATTGATACTAAATGAATCAAAAAAACCTTAGTTTTTTCGAGTTTTTTCATTTAGACTAAAATTTAATAGAGTTCGTATTAAACATTCAAATGTTAAATTAAAAAATGCCATTTTCAATCTTTTGGTTCTATTTGGGCTTTATTTTGTGTGTGTGTACATACGTGTTTTTCTCCTTTGCTTTTGACGATGGTATGAATATCACAAGCTTTACGATTCATCGAGCAGTTAGAATCACGAGTCTCTTCAAATAAAATTTCCGATAGCCTAACTCGTAATGGCACTTTTCAAGTTGTCAAACAAATCATATAAATTATCCCCCACACACACACACAATTACATGAGCATATATTTACAAAGTAGATCTGCGGATGATCCGCAAAAAAAACGACGCCACGTTAGCGCCGTTCTCTTATCCACCAAAACCTGTCAAAATTCTTGTTATTAGAACAAGACCAAATTGTATGCAATCCCGTGATAATTGATGCATGGTATTATTTCTTATGCGAAATAATCCCGAAACTCTGATAAACAAAAAGACTTTTCGAGACTGAAGCATAATTGTTCGTATTGTTAGTTGAACGACTTTGTCTTGCGAGTGAAAAATTTTTTAATATTTCTTTATTCCCGATCGTGCAACAGAAAAAACGATCTCGATTTTGCTACCTTGCAATTGTTTCATGTGAGATGTATGAACATGAAAAATATTTTCATGTATTATTGCACGTGTAGAAAAATCTTTTTTTGATGAGATTTAATTTCTTGTTCAATTGTTTCAATTGTTATAATCGATATCGTCAGTTAAATTATTTGTTGTTGTTATGATTATCTCGATAAATTTTTTGTCATGATTTCGATCCGAAACGGGAACAATTTTATTAGATGATCATCATGAAATTGGGACACGAGGCTTTTGATCCTCTTAGTTCCATATTAGGACTTAACCGATCGTTCATTGGTCTAACGTCTCTTCATTGTAATTGGCGTGGGAAGATGCATTTCGTAATAATGGTCGAACAGGGTCGACTAAAAAGATCGAATATTATTGGTTCATATTCTAACTAATTTGATGTCGAATAATTATTTTTACCGGATCAACATGAGATATTTGCGTGAAACCGATAAAAAGATATGGTTAACGAATATTTCCACGTTTATCGTATGACTTTAGGTATTTCATTCGTTTTTTTAAAAATAGAGGATTTTGAAATTAAGACTTAATTTGAACCTCGTGAAGATAGAAAATTCTGAAAGAAACATGATTCTGGTTGATAAGCGAGAATACTAAAAATATAATGAACGATAATTGTATATGGCTATATAGTGATGTTAGTGATAACAAAGCTTGTTGTTTGTGCGGATATTCTAAATAAAGAACAGCATTAAATTAAAAACTAAAAAATTCCACGTTCGATGTGAAAAACTTCTTTTTTTAAAACCTGTTCAACAAAAAGTAACACACGCATGAACAATTAATTAAATTAGATCATTTGTGGCATTATGAATTTCCGCATTGATCACACAAATTGATCACTATTACTTTTGTCAACCCCAACCGACCATCATTCTTTCTGTGCTTCTCTGCTAGAATTAACAAGGTTGAGGCTTGAAATTTCCCTACTAGAAAGCTTGGGACGAGTTTGTGACATCATCTTCCTGGTTATTACTAATTAACTGCTCACGTCGGTCGACTGAACCGATCTTCTTAGAACGGTCATTAAAACGAAACCGTGATGGACCAGTCCAAAACCTGATATTGAAATACAACGTAAGCACGAATTTGATACGTAAGCGCGGGAAGTACCAAGTTTCCTGTTCAGTGTTTTTTTGCCGCTATTGCCGTTATTGTAAACTTGCTTTAAAGACTAAACCAATTTTTATTCAGGCCCCAAAATAATACAAAATACGTCATATATGTAATAATGCTGATTTCTCTTTGAAAAATTTTTGTTAATATTTCCTATTTCGGTTGGATAAAAATCTTTGATGATTCAAACTGGTTATGTACATCATATATTGAATGGTAAGACTGGTGGTAGAGCATTTCGCTCTTGTCCGATGATCCGGTCCTTGAATTAATAAGTTCGTTGCTCAAAATGAAAAAACTTTTAAATACATTACAATTTATATACTAGTTTTTTTTTTACTTTAAGATTCAGAATATTCTTGAGCAATTAAAAATCAAATAACTTATGACTGATATGTGTTGCTAATTTAGTAAATTCCAATATCATGATAATGATATAATATTTTTTAGAAATGATTCGTTCACTCATTGCTTGAGAACAAGGTGAAGATTTACTGCATCACACCCTACTTTCCTTCTTTTTGTTATTTATCACTATCACAAAGTTTTTTTGGAGTTTTTTCTTAAATAATAGTCCTTAGACGTGGGTAAAACATTAGGATAACGGAGACACAACGCACCCAGCAAGAACTTAGAAACGTTGTGCGCGGATAAAACTCATTTTATTTTAAATTCTTCTATCAGTCATCGTGGACAATTGTAAAAAACCAGTTTCTTTAGATGCAAAAGCAAAAGTCCGATAGAACAATTAAGATAAGTT